CGTCGGGAGTCCTCGGACGTGCCCACGCACAGTCGGGGGCGGGGGTGGGGGAGGCGCGGCACGTGAACTCGAACGCGGGACCGCAGAGTGAGCATGCGCAGTGCGGGCTGGGGTCCTGCTGGGGAGGCAGGGAGAGGGGACGAATGAAGCGATGGTCTTTGCATCCGAAGGTCTGGAAGGCAGAGGGAGGGGTCCCACTCCGTGTGCCATTGGAGGTGCCAGTGACCCCTCAGCTGTAAGCTACACGGAGCCCAAGGCTTTGCCTCAGCTTTTGGTTGTTCCTCGTGAGAAACCCCAGCATTTAGTGCATAGTTTGGCAAAGCACTAAATGCTCAATAAATGTTTAAATATTTGCAGTAAAGCAAAGAGCAAGCGGGAGAGGGCAGAGAGTCTATCGCCTATTCCTTTATTCATGAGGATTATGTCAAGCTGATGAATATTCTATTAAGTCCCTCCCCTGAGATTCCCCACGTGCAAGAGAGAGATAAATACCCTCAATGCAAAGGACCCAGTGCCCACTTCCCCCCAGGGGAGCATGTCCCGGGCCCTTGCTCCTTCCTCCCCTATAAGGGACCCCACGAGACTTGCAACCAGGGGAGCAGTGGGCAGCGGCAGCTTATCCGGGGCCAACCCCCCGAACCTGTGTCCACGGCCCCCTTTTCTCTGAGTTCCCAGCGAGCCAAAGCAGCCCAGCCTGGGCTCTCCTGTTGCTTCTTCTACACCAACGTGTCAAACTCAAAGGCTAACACAGGCCAAATAAACGAGGCATGTGCCCCGCAGGCTGCGAGTTTGACATGCTTGTTGTACACCCTGCCTTGTTTCACTGTCCTAATTGTGTTTTTGCCGCATTCTTGCTTGCTTTGCTGCAAAAAGAAAGAAAAGAAAAATGAGGATTATTTCAAAATTTTCTTTTTTGAAATATATATTTTATTGATTTTTTTACAGAGAAGGGAGAGAGAGTTAGAAACATCGAGGGGAGAGAAACATTGATCAGTTGCCTCTTGCACACCCCCTACTGGGGATGTGCCCGCGACCAAGGTACATGCCCTTGACTGGAATCGAACCTGGGACCCTTCAGTCCGTAGGCTGACGCTCAATCCACTGAGCCAAACCCCTTAGGGCTTATTTTCTATTTTTCTATCTCCTCAACCCTTAGCAGATAACCTCACTGTCATCAGCACCAATTCCTTCCTTCAGCCCCCATAGCAATGGGACGATGTTCCTTTGGCCCTCCCTGGCCGGGGAGAATTATTCCTAGCCAAAGGCAGTGACCAGACTCTTGCCCCCTGGGCTGCTCCCAGGAAACCGAGGTGATGTCACCTTCCCCAGGACTGGGGTGAGGGGGCGGGGGCAGGTGTGACTTCCCTGGGCAGTGACACCCCTGTGGCTCTCACTTCTAGAGGAGGGGGCAGCCTTGTGTGCTGAATGACGGGAGGGCTTTAGAGTGACTGGGTCTCCAATCCTTACCAGCGGTGTGGCTTTCAGCTCAGTTTCCTGTTCTGTAAAAAGGGGGATTGTACCCTAGCTGGTTTGGCTCAGTGGATAGAGCGTCGGCCTGCAGACTGAAGGGTCCCGGGTTCGATTCCGGTCAAGGGCACGTGCCTGGGTTGCAGGCTCGATCCCCACTAGGGGTGTGCAGGAGGCAGCCAATCAATGATTCTCTCTCATCGTGGATGTTTCTATCTCCCCCTCTCCCTCTCCCTTCCTCTTTGAAATCAATAAAATATATATACATGGGGGTGCGGGGATTATACTCTGCCTCACATCTGGAAGGACTAGGAGTGAGATAACACTCCTCAGGCCCCTGCCACAGTGCAGAACGGGGGCACAGCAAATGCGGGTCCCCTCCGTCCCTGCCTCCAGCCTGGCACAGGTGCCCGGGCCAATGAGGGCAGCGTCTCTCCTTGAACAATGGCACTGCTGTTGTTCCAGCCAGAGGAGCCAGACGTGAATGTGAGTCTTGAGACGGGGAAGGGCAGGGCAGAGGCAGGAGAGGGGCTGCGAAGAGAAGTCGATGCTGGAGGAAGCCCCGCTCCCGGACAAGGGCCTTGTGGCCTGTTGGCCTCCTGAAGAGCTCTGTTATGGGGCAACCCGTAAGAGACGACCACCAGAGCCAAAGGGTAGAATTTACGAGCCTTGATTAGCTGGCCAGCGACTGCAGTTACAGCCCCCCGCCGTAGCAAGGACCGAACTGCAGCCCCGAACAGATGTAGAAGTGAGCTTTTATTCACAAAAACCACAAAACGGTTGGCTAAACACACACAAAGTTCGTCACTCCATTTCTCAACACAGGTCACAGGCTCATACCTTTGAAAGGCCACAAGTTACAGACTCATACCCCCGAAAGCTTACAGACTCATACCTTAGAAAGGTTAAGCTCTTGCCGTAACCGGTTTGGCTCAGTGGATAGAGCGTCGGCCTGCGGACTGAAGGGTCCCAGGTTCAATTCCGGTCAAGGGCATGTACCTTGGTTTCGGG